GGAAACAATTTGTTCGTTCGGTCATTAGATTCGTTTCAGGAGTGTGAAGATCTGTCCGTGAATCTCAGAGACTCTGTGCCCAGTCTTTCCTTGCACAGCACTGTGTTTGGAATATATTTACTTGGCAGATTTCTAGCTAGATATGGTCTGTGGTCATAAATTCACCTTTGAAAGACTGTTTACCAGGCCTTTGCTGAATGTGAATGAGAGGAATTCACTTTCGTCTAATAAAAGGGGATTTGTCGGGACCAGGTATCTGCTTCGTTCTTTTTGGGGAAGCCTAGATTCAGAACACTTACCTTTTGTAAGCTTTGTTGAACTGAATAATTTTTCTCCTGCATGTCTTAAATTAACTTCTTAGTATTTGATTTGTAATATTTGATTTATACTATTATTTATTTGATATTATTTTCTGATAATGGAATTTTATTCTTTTAGGCGAGTGGCAGAGCTTTTCATGTTTGATTTTGAGATCAGCGGTATTCATTTGAATGAAGAACAGGTATTTATTATTTATAAAAATTAAAGTAGGCAGTCATTTTGTTGCCACACATTCCTTAACTTGCAATAATTAAAAAACAGCAAATTAAAAATAAACGTTATGTTGTATACCTTCATACTGCCCATTTGCAGTGTTTCATATCACTCATCCTTCAGAATAAATTTTAAATTTTAGTAGAGTGGGGTCAGTCCTGACTTTATTTATTCGGTTATTTTATTTACTAAATTTATTTGCTGCCTATCTCACCGCAAGTTAACTCTGGATAGGCTACAACATGGGAGACAAGCAGTTCCAGAGTGACAATGTTGCCACCAAAAAAGTTTTCCTCATTTTTGACCAACTTCTACTGGGTATGCATTTTGCATGAAGTACACCATCCTGAAAATCATGAGGTCCCAAACCATAAATGGCTCTATAGGTAATAACAATCATGCTGAATTAGACCTGATACCCATTAATAGCTGCTGCAGTTGTCAGTGTTCCAGATAGCATCGAAAATTTAGAGTCCAAGGCAAAGTACTGCTCAAAGTTCCAATTTATTAAGAGAGCTACGCTGGCACATCTGGGATAACCCAAATCTGAAGCTTCTTAGTCCCGTCCCCCCAAGTTAAAGTTCATGATCTTGCCCGCTCACCCACGAATCCATCACATGGTCCAATCCTCCACTGCCATGCTGGCAGTTCCAACCATCCAGGTCCGGTCAGGTGCAGAGGTGCAAAGACAAAGGATGACCTTGGTTTTCTAGAAAGAATTTTGTTATGGCTACATTGCATCTCACTCACTTCTCTCAATTCCCCACTATAGAAACAGCATAGTGGAATAGAAATGTGGCAGGCCAAATCTGAAAGGAACATGGCTGCAGGCCTGACAGCAGTTCTTGCAACACACGTGTTACACCTCAAGCTAGTTGGATCCATAATTTGCCTTGTATATCTAAGCTATGCTTTCTGAACTTGGTTGTTTTCTTGCAGACCTTTTATTACAAGCTAGGCAATGTCATCAGTGCTAGAAGAGAATGGATTTTGAGCTCATTTTATGTACTGGTGGCTTGCTCTGTCAGTGTTGGTGGTTCCTTGATTAGGCTATTGTTTACAAATCAGCCATCAACAGGCACAATAGTATTAATTGCTGGTGAAATTTATGGATGCTACTATTTTCAGTATTTTCTGTAAATATTTTAATATATTTTCGTATTATGAAATGTATGAAAAAAATATGTGTTCCCCTTATTTGCAGCGCAGGAATGCAGTAAATCTTAATGTCAACATTTTGGATTTATGTAATGAATTTCTCCTGGGGTCTCATCTTCCAAACAAGATTGAGAAGACTGTGTTACCAGAACATATTCGCCACAACTTTGCCGTTGAAGGCAGTTTTGCCCAAATCAGTTGTCTCAGTGCAGACAGTCCAGATGACTTGGTATGTATGTATAAAATATATTATAGCCCAATATGGTTTGTATAATTGCTGAGCAATACATATGAGTAGCTTTATAAGTGGTCGTCTTTTACAGTGCACCGTTTTAAATGGAGCAAAATAAACCATCCAAGTAGTAGAACCAGGAAGAAAGTATTTTGTGAAGTGAGGCATATTCAGATTACATATGGAGAGCTGCAAATTGTTTTTAAAGTTGCATCTGCTATAGTGTATAAAGTGGACAGGGTGAAGGGGTTCATTTTATATGATTGGAAAAGGGCAAAAGGTGCTGCTATTCTCCTTCATTTTATTATAATATTCTCTACATATTGGGGGCCTTGTAGAAGCATCAGTAAGTAAGTAAGTAGAAGAAAAATTCAATTTTCAATTTCCATAGGTGAAGCCAATAGAAAACATTTAACTACACCTTTTTCTAACTAGAAGATTTCTTTTTGTGGGATCCTTGGTGCTCTTCGAGCTTGGTTGTTTTCTTGCAGGCATTTCATTACCAAACTAAGGCAATAGCTCTCATGTTATATACTTGTGGCTTAACTCTGTCAGTGTTGACAGGAGTGGTCTTGGTGGTTCCTTGATCAGGCTATTGTTTACCAATCAGCCATCAACAGGAGCATCAAGGTTAACAATATCTACATACCTGTTGTGGCCCAGCATGAGCTGTTGGAGCTGCAAACAGACTCCGCCAGCGAGGGGTCTTCTGAGTCGGCTCTAGAAGAGGTGGAGGACCCTGGACAGGGTTCCAACTCCAAGCAGGGCGCAGAGAGGCTGGTTGGCCACCAGGAGGCGCCTGAGGCATGGAGCAGCAGTGAGAGCCAAAGGGAGTGTGCTCCTGACGTCATGCCTTGAAGTAGTGATGAGGAGACAAGGGAGGTGGTCCTGGATGCCCAGCAACGCTGGGCAGATCGACATAGAGAGCAGCTACGCTGTTACAAAAGATAATTGGACCCAGGTAATTATAATTAGGCT